AAAATGGTATTTGGTATATTTGTTATGCATTTACTTAGTCGTACATGTGTATATGTGTATGAAAGTATATGGATGTAGGTATTATAAGTATTTATTAATTCCTTAATGACCTTTGCGGTTTTAAAATTGTTTTGTGGTCAGGTGGAATGATATGATTATTATATTGTTGTTGTTGTCTATAAGAATATAGTTATAAGCATATTTGAAATACTTATATGCACTTACATACATAAAAATTTTTTTGATTTTTTGCATAAATTCATATTGTATATATATAGTTAGATTATTGATTTTAATCATTTAAGTGTACTTATTGCAAAAATAATATTGTACTGCACAAGTGCGGTACTTATTGCAAAAATAAATTTTTAACTAAATATTAATTTTTCAGTTATATGAAAGTTTGATGCGTATTAAAATATATATGTATGTGTAATGAAAACGACTAAAAATCTAATATATATGCATGGTAGTTTTGTAATTTAGTAGAAATAAAGCATCTTATTTAGAAAATAAATTTTGAAGTATGTAAATAATTTAAAATTGATATTTTTGATATATGATTATTTAATTCTGTGGGTGCTATAGATATGTATATAGAGAGAAAAAATAGGCAAATTCAGTTAGGTTTATTACCCGTATATAACAATGAATTCATATTTAAGTATGAGATTAAAAAATATGAATTTGGTTATTTCATTCTTCTGTTTTTGTTTTATTTATTTTATGAATTATGATCATAATATTACAATAGCCGTCCAGTATACACTTGTATTAACTCAATAATGGAAGAAATTGAAAAATATGAAAAAAAATAATTATCCACGATTCATTTATTAATAATTGAAATTTGGATACACGGAACGAAATTCCGAAGAACGTATATGACAACCTGGCATACTATATACTGAAGAATAAAACTATAATAATATAAAATTACGTCAATAAGTATACCAAATATTTAAAAATTTTAATATTAAATTTTCATAAAAATATGGAGTTAATCGAAATATGAACTCAATAGCACTTGTACCTTGTATATATATAACAATAATATATATTAACTATAAATGGTATAGAATGAATTTAAAAGGCATTTAATAATATCGAATATATATATTATAAAAATGTTAATATATTATTATGCCTATAAAGAATAAATTAATAAAATAATAATTAATTAAACAAAAAAAGAAAAATTAAAAATTCTTAAATAAAATTTATTGAATATTAAAATATTTTTTTTTTCATTTTCTTAAAATCTCATCATTATATTTTGGATTCCCGGCATATTAGGATAATTTTAAGTAATATGGTTTATTTTTTGAATAGATTCTATATTTGAGGTTTGGAATTTACTTATATACTTACTTAATGTACGTCTTTTTATTACCTTCCAGTAAGTGTTTAAATTTGAAGTTTTGTTTTTGATATTTAACATTATTAAAAACATTTTTACGTAAATTTTTGGTATTAAATTTAAAGTTCTAACAAAATATTCAATTAATTTGCAATTTATAAATATACTTACTGTTAAAAATTTTTATTTTAAGGAATATTATTTATATTTGAAATTACAACTATAATTGCTGTAGCGAGTAAGAATAAAATACACATATGTTTCTCTTGCGAACAAATCGGGAGATCTGCACAATGTGTGGTTGTTTGTTTATTATACGCGTACAAACATTATGTTTGAAGGATATACTAAATTTGCCTTACCGTTTGTAACGCTAAGAAATAATGGTCTGAGATATAGACTCAAGTATATGTTTTTGATTAGCGTCGAATTCTGACTCGATTTAGTCATGTCTGTCGGTCTATTTGGCCGTTCGCCCGTCCGTCCGTCCCAACGATAACTCAAAAAATAATTGAGCTAAGTTCACTAAATTTTCACAAATTATTTATTATAGTAAACGCCAGAATTTAAATTGGTTATGATCGTGGTACTGGTTTGGGTACCTGCCACACAACTTCCAAATTTTTTTGGCTATATCTCAGAAGCTATAAAAGCAGTGGTATTGAAATTTCGCACAAACAAATTAATTAGTAGGGCAAATGTGTTTGATAAAAATGATTGAAATTTTTTGACTTCTTGTGATAGCTGCCGTACAACTTCAATAGTAGTTTGGCCATATGTTTGAAAATATTGAAAAATTCATAGTACTGAAATTTTGTATAAATTAATTTATGGTATAACTTAAAGTTAAGCAACTTAAAGTTATAGTCTGTTCCATGGTACGAGTCATTTACTCGCACAACGGATAAAAAATTTGTACGGATATCACAGAGTTGATACCGTCAACTCTTATTTTTTTATTTTTTTTTTATTTAAATTTCTTTTTTTTTTGGCAATTTTTTTATTTTTTGGTAAATTGATAATATATTGGTAATTTATTCATAATTATTATTTTATAATTATTTTGTTAATTATTCATAATTTAATATAAGTATGAGTAAAAAAAAATTAAAATTTTTTTTTTCTAAATTAGAAGTATGCAAACATTGTCGCATGCTTCTAATTCATAAAACACAAAAAAATCAAGACATATGCTAAGTATTTATTATTTAATTATTATTTATTATTTTTACTTATTATTTATAACAATATTATTTGTTATATAAAGTTACGATTAATTGATCTAAAGTGATATACAACATAATCACTAAAAAAAAAAGTATTTAAAATGATCTTTTATTAATAATATATCAATAATTTGAATCTATATATATGCATGTATCTTAAATCCAAGTATATGTATATTTGAGGAAAATTTGATGCACAATTATTATTATTTAAGTTGTACAAATTTATAAAGGGGGAAAAAACCTTATAAATTATCATAAGAAGATATAGTATATATATATATATATCATGATAAATACTAATTTAATAATAATATTAATTAAATATTATTACTCGTATATTTAAAATATTTGTTAAAAAAAAAATCCAAATATGTTTATTAATGTTTTCATTTTAAAATTGTGTATATACTTATGTGATTATTTTTGAAATTATTATACTAAGCACTTATATTAAGTGATACTTAGTATATTTATATATATTCTTCTATAAGTATACACTATAAATACTTTATCGGTGTATGTTGTTTCGGCGATATATTCCCGCATATAATATGAATCATTTAGTTTAATAATTACTGTATATAAAATTGTAATCAATTTTTTAATATTTATTTAAGAAATTTTATTTAATAAGTAATTCATAAATTTAAGTGCTCACATTACTCTCATATAATAGGTGCTTACAATAAATAAATAAATATTATATGTTTATATATATATATATATATATGTATTTCCGTGTAAATATTTGTACATATATATTGAAATAATAAAAACAATTAACTAAATTGTTGCTACTACGCAAAATATACATATACATATATTTTTTATAAAATATAAAAATATTCTTATAATTCTTCTAATTAAAATTGTTCTATATGAGTATGGTGCAGAGATTAATGTTTCCATGATCATGTTAAAATTGTTATAATTAATTAAAAGTATATTTGTTATGCCCAACCATGTACATGAAAAATTTTTACAAAATAAAATTATAGTAAACATTATTAAATTTTAATTTCCAATTCAATTAAATAAGGTTTTTGTTATATACGTATATGAATGTGTGTGCAATGGGTTTTTCAATAATAAAGATTTATCTTTTTAATATATAGTAACATAGAAATTAATAATTCTCGATTGAATTTGCAGTTCACAATACGATAAACCTTATGTGATGACATTGTATAATAAAACAAAGCTTTTAGAATAATAATTATTGAATGTTTTGTAAACATTTCTGAAGATCGTATATTATTTAATATGATTACAATTTATAAAATATGTTTGAATAAAATTGACAATTAAACAAAAAAATCAATTTGTTATTTTACGTTTTTGACCATTAAAAAAATTTGAAATCCAATTATTCCTATTTATGTACAAATATGTATGTAATGCTGAAAAACCCTTTATGTATACTTTATGTTGATTTAGAAATGTGGGTTGGATTTTAGATGAAAATTTTAAAATAAAATGTAGGTGGAAAAATTCATTCTTCTTGTTTATTTTTGTATGTATAGTCTTAATTTTTGTTAAAACATTCATTATTAATCATTTTAAAAACAGGTAACAATCAAATTAAGTTAGACCTTTTGAATAAATAGAAAAAATGCTATAATTTCGAAAATGTATAACTAAAGTTTTTGATATAGTCGAATAAACTGTGCTCATATGCATTACTTATATGGTTTGTAAAATGGTACATTTTCTTTGGACAATTTAAGTAAATCTAAGAGAATGCTTATATCGGCGAATTCGGGTATAGCGAAGAGTTGTATAGCGGATATAGTCGTTTTCATACAGACTTTAAAACAAGTGCCTAATGGTTAGCCTATAAGTTTCACGATTCCGACGTTATTTGTATATATACGAATCAATATGCATATATTGTATCGCTTAACGACAATTTCAGTATATTAAAGATTTGGCAATAATGCCATGTCGATTGCATTGTCAATCGCTTAATTTTTCACATTACAATCATCTGCAATTAAGTATATTTTGCAATATTAAAATAGTTTTTTTAAGAAAAATTTAAAGGAATATTTAAAATGATCGTAAATTACGTGAGCAACGTATATTGCAATACGTATAGCTAATGACACTTTGATATTCTTAATTAATGTCAATACTTTGCAGTTATATATAACATTTGACATATTGGAAAATGGCCTATTTAAATTACGTTATTCACTCAATTAGAATGTGTCATAATTTATAAAGTTTTTGTACTCTATTTAAATATTTATTCTATATTTTAAAATTAAATAGATAGAAAATAATTAAATGCATTGTTTTTTTTTTATCTTATCATATTCAATTAAAAATGTTTTTTATCATTTTATTTATTTTCTCATATAGACGATAAAAAAGACGATATAAAACTAATGTTAAATTCATTTTATTGATTTCATTCAAAACTATTTCATTTCTATTTTTTCGATATTTTGTTAATAAATTATAAAAAAATGTAAGAATAATATTTTTGAAAATGTTTTTTTGCAAAAATTAAATTTGAATTTTAAATTTGATATTCTTAAGTTTAATATTTTTATAATAACTCATATATATTTCTATAATTTAAATTTTAGAGCAAAAGAAAATTGAAATTTTAATTTATAATGGCAAGACAAAATTATTTAAGAGATAAAGAATATTTTATGTTGACTGCCATATTAGCAGCACAACGTTCAAAAGATCCAAAAACTCAAGTTGGAGCTTGCATTGTTGATAATGAAAATCGTATTGTTGGTATTGGTTATAATTCTAGCACAAAGGATTTTTGTGATGAGGACTTACCATGGGATAAACCTGAAAAACATTTATATGTTGTACATGCAGAAGAAAATGCAATATTAAATAAAAATATTGCTAATATAAATGGTGCCAAAATTTATGTTACATTATTCCCTTGCAATAAATGTGCTCAATTAATAAAACAAAGTGGTATTAAAGAAGTTATATTTTGTTGTGATAAAGATAATGAAAAAGATTATAATATAGCATCTAAAAAAATTTTGGAAGGAATTGCACTTACAAAATATGTTTTAAAAACTAAAAAAATATCTTTTACTTTTGATGATACTGAAAAAATTAGTGCTGAAATTTCAAAAAGGTCTACTGATGATATTTCACAAGAAGGTAGCCAATATTGTAGTCTCCAATTGGAAGATCTTTGAAATTTTGTAGATATTAAAATGGTTTTAATAAATGAATGATATGTAAATTTTTGATTTATTAATTTTATAAGTAAATAGCTGCATAACCTTAATTTTTTTTCAAAATTATACATAATTTTATTAATTTACCCTAATTAATTCTATATTTTGAGCTTTTATTTCAACAATAAAATTAAATTGAATAAACTTTTGTATGAAATTCTTAATACTTTTTAAAATACCAGAAACAAAATGTAATTTACTGCAAGAAAAAACAAAAATGGGTCTAAATAACATTTAACCAACAATTTTTCTGAAAATGTATACTTACTGGTTTAAGTTTGTGGTAGTCCGTCCGCTTTATAGGCCGGCCATCTTTTTACAATATTTTATTTTTTTTTTTTTTACCTTCCTTCCCTACCCCAGCTCTCCCTTACTCACTTCAATTATCACTTCTCGAAATTAAATAAATTTTCATATTCAAAGAGTTAGAAATTCTTTTAAATTACTTAATTAGATTTAATTATGTGCTGTACTTTTAAATTTAATAGCTTTATCCAATTTGTTGTATCCTAAAGGTATGCAATAATGCAACATTTCATGATAATGCAAGAAAATAAGAACAAGAACACAATATTTTAAAATACAAAATTATTTTCAATTTCATACCGAAAGTGCTACTTTACAAGGCTATATTATTCCTAATTTATTTTTTATACATATACTTTTGTAATACCCTATAGCAGAGATGAGGAACCTTTTTATCCTTAGTGGCCAAGTATATTAATTTTTGCATTAATGAAAAAGAAAGCAAAAAACTAAAGTAATCGACCACCGCAAATATAATTTCAAGAAATTTACCTTGAGAAGAAACCGAAGGAGGCCAAAAGTTTTCCAATTCTGCCTCTGACTTCTGAATGACTAAATCGTCATTTATTTGCAATATTTAAAAATAAAAACACAAAAAAAAAAGAAAAAATAAAACAAAACAAAAACGAAAAATTACAAAAATGTCAAAGGAATTAAAAATTTAAAATAGCAAAAAAGCGAAAAAAGTGAAAAAAAAAAAAAATTAAGCAGACCACCCAAAAACTTTTTTTAATATAATGCGCCGCCATGTATTTAAAACACATCAACATCATTTTCATTTTCAACCATTTAGATACTTATTCAATTCTGTTTTATATACAGGAACATGTAAGTGTAGGTGGTTTTATTAAAGAGGTGCTGTTTTTAATAAAGAAATCATTAAAAATAAAAAAAAAAACAAAAAAATATAAAAGCAAAAAAAAAAATTGCAAAATAAAAATTCTTCACGTTTAATTGAGAACACTTTCTGTTGTTCCTTTTTGCAAAAAAAAAAATTACAAAATAATATTAAATAAGGAAAACCTGAAATTAAAATTAATTTTCACACCAAAATAAAATTCCATGTTAAAATAAAACTTGAGAAAATAAAAAAAATTGGAATTTTAATTACAAATTCCAAATTTTATACAAGTATAATATAGCTTAAATCTCTCAATAATTACACTATTCAAAATTATATAAGTAATTTAATCTATAAGATTAGAAACACATAGGTAAATGCCGATTATACGTATGGAATGGGTAAGGCGATAGGAAAATCGCTCTTGTCCTGTCTTAAACTTAAATCTGACCAAATTATGTACACCAAAAAAAAAAAAAAATAAAATGGAACATAATAATTGTAACAGAAAAATAAGTTATTGCCTAATATTTAGTCACATAACACAGTCAACGTATAACATATCCTGCATATGTAAGAAGGAGTTCTGTTAATGTAAAAATTTATAAGTTTGCGTTGACTTCATTCGTGGAGAAATCGAATAGTAATATGGTACTTCTGCCTATCGTGTTGTTTTTCTTACTTTATTTACATAATGTGTATAAGAACGTTTAATAATTTTATGTTAACTTATTCGGCAAACGAATTGAATGCTACTTACTGTACACATGTAAGCATAAATAATTTTTATTGTACATGCACGTCACATAAATAATTTTTTTTTCTATTCTGACACAATATAAATATAAGTACATGTAATTAGCGCAAACCATTTTGGCAATTAAAGTTCATAAATTAAAACAACAATTAAAAGAAGTAACAGAATTATTTCAATCTATTCTCTTCTTTAATTGTTCATTTCATAATTTAATTTTATTTGCAGAAATCTACTATGTATAGTAAAACTACACATAAGAACAATCAATAACAATAGTAAGAATAATTATACCATACACACATGTAATTGTTTATGCTGCGTACAAAGGCAATGAAACGAAAATGAGTAAATTGTGCAGAAAATCGTTTTACATCTTATACGATATAAATACGATATACGAGTAATATATGTACAAAATTGAGAATACATTATTTTCTTCGTTTTCTTTTCGTCTTTTTCTGCATGTTGTTTTTTTTTCGTTTTCTTTTTGTGTGTTATTTCTTCTGCAAACGTTGGAGATCTTACTTGGGCTTATATTAATAAAATATGCATATATAATATTTGTGTGTGTGTAATACATTATACACTCGTATATAAATAAAAATTTAAGAATTGTATTTTAAAATTTTATTATTATGATTTTAATTACTTTATATACGATTATTAAATATGCATATTTAGTTATTAATTCTAAAAAATAAAATATATAAAATATCCTATATTTATATGTCGTTCCAATGAAAATAAAATCCGATATTAAATTTAAGTATTTTAACTATATGAACCTTTGTATTAATATAAAAGAACGAATATTATTAATGAAATTTTATATTCAAAATTTATAAATAGTGCATTGAAAAGAACAAAAAAAAGAAAAACAGTTAAATAGAATGCAAAAATTTTATAAGAGAATGTATTTCTTAAAATTAAGACTAAAAGGTCTGTTTGTGCTTTTATATATAAGATAAGAACTTTTAACAGTATATCTTTTCGGAGATACAGAAAACTGATTCTAAAATGTAAAGGTACTTGCAGATTCGGCTAAGGATAAATTGAAGATACATGAAAGATGCGGTGTGTACAAAATGAATTGTAATAATTGCGATAAATTTTACATAGGACAAACGAAGAGACCCGTTACAACAAGACTTAAGGAACATTTAAGTGAAATAAAACGTGCAAGGAGAGTAGGATTTAACCGGATTTTCAATTCTATGGTTGCAAAACACATTTATGAAACGGATCACACAATCACGGAAGATAACTTAGAGGTATTAAAAGAGGTAAAAGGAAAACACAGGAGAGAAGTTCATGAAAGCATGCAGATATACAAATCAAACAAGGACTGCCTACTAAACACGGACGAAGGTAACGCGGCTACTTGGCTCTTTAAATTAATTATTTGACCAGTTTTAAGGTTTAAAACAGGTATAAATTTAGTTTGTAAATAATAACAAAAAAAAAAAAATAAATAAATAATCAAATTCTAGATTAAGTCAGGTAGATTATATTAAGTCAGGTATAATATTCCTAATTTTAATAGATTTCAATTTTTATTGTTTGTTGTCTTAATTAGAAGAAAATCAGCTTTGATAAAGTGCTTATGTAGCGCACGAAATATATTAGCGAAAAATAAAAGTATTTTATTCCGAATAAAAGGAAGTTTTCTTTTCACACCAATTAAAAAAATAAAAAAAAAAAGGTACTTGCAGTTTTTGTAGAAAGAAGGTTTGACAAAACTTTAATACATGTAGGTAACGTTGTTATATTTAAAAAGTATGCTATAGTACGGTATTTTAGTGATATGACAGGAAATATTAAAAAGAGAAAACTGTAAGTTCTGCATACTCACGATGTTGAAGTTGTGGTTTGTAAAACTTTAGCGGTATAATTTTCGAAGAACGGTTGTGTAGGGTTATGTCTCAACCCTTAGAGGATTGATTACGCTAAATTTTTTAATACAAGCTGCAATCTAAATTATTATCTGAATTATATAATATAAACTTAATTTAAGCAATTTAATAGCTTGAACAGTCTTGAATTTTGCTATGTGTTCAAATTAACGTGAATCTACTGTATAATAAATGTAAGTTACTCATTATTTTTGCACCAATATTTTTCTCTACTTTTAATTAACAAAAATAAAAGTAAATGTTTTTTTTTTTTTTTTGCTTTTATCGCAAAGAAATAATAAGAAAACATCCTTAAGCTATATAAGCTAATAATTAAAGAAGAAGAATTTGATTTTATTGAACATTATTGATGAAAGAAAGAGAAGATGCAAAACAATTAAAATTTAATTTACATGATTTTATTTTAAGAATTTTTAGAACTTAATAAAAATATTTATACTTTTAATGTTCAAATATATTTGATGATTTTTTTTTTGTATTTGATGCAAATGTAGTTAAGAAAATAAAGACAAAGTATGTGACATTTCAAAAATTTTTTTCATTTTTAATAAACTTCATAATTTTGCCGTAAGGTTTTGTTTAAAATTTTCTTAATGAGGTTTTAAATCATTTTTTCATTCTGTAAATGCTTTTAAATTGGAATTGTTTTATGTATTTTTTTCTTAAATTAATTTTTAGAATGAATATTTTTAATAATTTAATTTTATCAGTCAAATTTATTTTAAAAGAAATACATGTACAGTCAAACCTGTTTAAGACGAATTTTTTTTTTTGGCTCCGTGCATCTTTGACAGGTTTTACTGTGTATATGTAGTTAAATATTAATTTTAAATCAAAGAATACAATATGTATATGGCATATGTATAAAAGTGTATTTAAATTTAAATGAAATTATGGCATTAAATTAATGATCGTATTTGAAGCTATCATTTAGAAATTGTATTGAAATTTGAACTGAATTCGATAAAATCGAGATTCTTTTAACCGTAATAATTGCAAATTTTTTACATAATTCACTATTTCGAATTTTATATGCGTTCTGAATTAATCTTTGAACATGTAATTAACAAATAGAGAGCTAAAAAAAATAAATCGAAAACCTTCTAAATATCTGAATAATCAGATAAATTTGGCAATATGAGAAAGCAGCTCATGGCACAAATAATTTTAAAATTTCAAGTCTCAGTTCTCACATAAATAAAAAAAAAAATAGAGATTAACTTGTTTTTTTTTTAAAAAATTAAAATAGTTTTTTATTATTATTCGATTTAATATCGCAAAATTTATTTATTTAAAAGAAA